ATATATGTGTGTGTGTGTGTGTATGTGTGTGTGTGTGTGTGTGTGTGTATGTGTGTGTATGTGTGTGCGCGCGCGTGTGTGTGCTATCCAATTATATTATAAATATTTATATATTATTACATACGAAAAACAACTTATTATAAATTTGCATGATGCTATAGACATATAAAATAAAATGGTTCAGTGGTTTGAGTAGTTGTGCATGAGAACTACAAGTTCAAGTCCTACCATGACCTTATATATTTTTATATATATTAGAATAATTAAATGAATTATATGGAAAGATAAATATAATTCTCTTACGTACAAGTACGTAACAGGAGTGAATCTATCTAATATTCTTCCGTTTCCAAGAAGATAAATGGTCTCCAAATTGATAAATGCATGTGGATTTATTTATTACCACTCAATACCTCCAAGTAAATTGATAAATGCATGTGGATTTATTTATTACCACTCAATACCTCCAAGTAAATTGATAAATGCATGTGGATTTATTTAATACCTTCAAGTAAATATTCTCTCGTACATTAATTATCAATGTGGCAGTAGATAAGGTTTTGGATTTATTTATTACCACTCAATACCTCCAAGTAAATTGATAAATGCATGTGGATTTATTTAATACCTTCAAGTAAATATTCTCTTGTACAGTAATTATCAATGTGGCAGTAGATAAGGTTTTAGATAAAAATCAAGAGCTGCAGTAGAGGATAAAATCACAAATTTTAGATAAAAATCAAGAGCTGCAGCAGAGGATAAAATCACAAAGAATCTACATGTATGCAAATTACGCAATCACTTATGCAAATTGAAACAGAAAACACGCCTATAAATAGCGCATTCAACAGCTCAAGGGAGCTCAACGGAAACGGAGAGAAAAAAAAAAGAGAAAGGTGAAAGAAAGAAGAGAAAGAAAGATAAAAACAACTTTAAGGTAGGGGGAGGAGAAATTTATCTCTTTAAAATTTTATATACTACTATGTTTATTTATTTATGTTATTTTCTATGTGTATTTATTTAGTGAGGTGTCCCTAACCTCATTTATTTAACCTATGATTATTTCTACTCATAATAATTAATAAGGTGTTCATATTTTATGTTGTTTAATTATTTTAACGATTATCATTGTCATTTACTTGATTGGTGCTCTTTAATATATTTCATTTACGTAAATGTTATTTATTTAAAGTTTAAACAATGATAAATACTCAAATTTATTTTATGATTAACTATAATATAATTTTGTTAAAATATCTTTGACTCCTTTTGTTGTTATTTCTTCACGTATTTAAAGATAAATATTATTCTATGGTCATAGAAGATAAAATTTGAATTATTTGTAGCTCGAGGTTTGACCTTGGGGATTTAAATGAGTAAAGAGTTAAGATTAAAAATTCTTTTGTTGGTTGATATTATAATGCTCATTTATCCTGACTAGTCACTGCAAGTGTAATTCAAATTTTTATATGTATATTTTCTAGTGTTAACTATTTTACACATGTTATGTGATTATAAATATTTCTTTGAAAATTGTTCTTACTCCTTATTTTTCTTGTTTAAAATATTTAATTAAATATGAAAAACAGATGGATCTACCAATTGTACCAGGCCCTTTCACTTTCGTTATTACTGCAATTTAATCATATCTTTTAATTAAAAATATAAAAATATTGGCCTCCTGTTTGGGCCCGCCTAGTAGTGGTTACTAAAATGTTATATAAATTTGGTTGTAGATATAGATAAGTATAGAGAGAACACATGTATCTATGCATGAAATTCATATTGATCAAAATTATATTATATTATATTATAAAGAGAGAGAGAAAAGATTAGCAAAATTTATGTCTTACGAGCTTAGATTTATTTTTTGGAATACTAAATTACCTATGTTCATAAACAAATAAAAAAAAAATAGATATATAGTATAGTGAATTTGATATTGGAGAGAATTGAAAATATGCACATTTTATATAAATTAGTAAATATACACATGATCATGTCCACAAAAGTTTCTAGAGTTTATTATTATTGTTGTTGTTATTATTATTATTTCATGGAGTGAGCATGAGAAAGAATAATCAACCACCCTTTTGTGGTGATCACCAACTCTGGTTGTATGAATAAGATTTTATTATTATATTATTTTCTTTTCTTTCTTTGTTGGACTTTGATCCAAAAGACATTTTAGGCTTTAAATAGTCACTCTTAATAGTTGTTAATACTTTTACATGAAATTAGGAAGAACAAAAGTTTTGAAAGAGTTGAGGCTCATATCATCTTCTTTGTTTCTACTTTTTGGGTTTGATATTTTTCTTTTTTGGATTTTATCCTATTTCCTTGGCTACTTGTGAGTAGTTATATTTCTAGGAATAGCCATTAGCCGATGCACTTTAAATGAATTAATTTCTATAATCCTTATGCGATTCCTTTTCATATTTGATTTATTTCTATTGCTTTATTTGTGTTTAATTAATTGACAACCATTTAACTCTATTTTAGGCATTTGGGGATGAACTAAGAGGCAAACCTATAATTTTGGAACAACAAAATGGACTTGGATTTTAATTCACAATATTAGAATTAATCCTAAGAGGTATAAAAAAAATAATAAAAAAATAACATATAGTTGTTACAGAAAAATTTAAGCATTATCAAAATATATTTTTAACTTGATTGAATTAGTGTTTCCTTTATAAGATGAAAGAAAAGAGTCTACGTGTGTTGCAATATGTCCTTTTATTGATCCATTCTTGAGATAAAATGAAGAGTA